ACTTTTCTTCTGAAAGTTTTTAAAACTGAGCTCAATATATCTGCAGGACAATGAAAAACAAAAACAAAACGTATAAATGATTGGTATTTGTTGAGCACTTTTAAGCCAACAAACTGAAAGATTAAAGTGAATTCTGCCCTCACTCCAGAGGAAAAAAAGTAATGAAATCTCTGCACTAACAATTTGTATTTCCAAATTGTTCAAGAATATACACAACTAGTAACTTGCCTATCTCGAAGGTGATACTACACAGACAAAAAGACACAGCCAAAGGGGGGCTGGGGAAACATTATGTAACCTGCTTTTCTTCTTTTGGAGCCCCCTCCTCCTTTTGTTATAGATGAAAAATGATGTAGGCAAAGACTAAAACTGGAGCACCGCTGTTTATTTTAAAATGAATACATGATAGTTAAATAAATTTCATCCAAAATTGGTGCACTGTACATGTTTGCAAAACAAGGGTAAATGGTAGTAGGGAAAGCAAGAGCGCAGGTAAGACTGGAAGGAGGAGAAAGGTTTAGATCCTCTGCTCGAGCTAATCTCTTTTCTTTTTTCTTGCTGCTTTGCGTCGGCCACCTTTTCTCGTTTCTTCTCAGCTGTTATTTTGATCTTCTATGTTCTCATCACATCTTTCTCTCACTCTCAAAGTTTTCTTCACTTTCGTTTTTCATCCTTTTCCTTTCTGCTTTCTATTGTCCTTTCTTTCTTTGTTCATTTCCTCCTCTTCTGCCTCTCTGATTTTCCAGTTTTTCCTCATGAGAATTTGTTTCTAGGGTTTGTTCCTGATGTTTGGCATTGGGTGCAAGCTCCTGGGTAGAAAGACTACAAATTATTTTGCTAAACTCAGTCTTAAAAAAGATGTTAAGACCAAAAATGAGTGACACAATCAGTTAACCTGAAGCAAGGTTTCCCATTCAGCCTCCTTTTCATTTAATTTCTCACAGAGAAGGGTTTTCTTAATTTTAAGCTCATCCATAGGCTCCCCTCAGATGTCTGGTAGGTGCAGCTCCAGTGTTGTTTCCTGCTGTTCATCTCTGTGTCTTTTTTAGTTAATGGTCTACGCAGGCTGGGGTTTGAGCTCTCCTTTTTTAAGGCATCTTTGAAAAGCCTCATCCTTGCGCTTGAGACAGTGCAATGAAAAACATCCATTTGTTCATATGAGTAAATTAGCCAAAGCATAAGTAATTTTTTAAAGACCCCTGTAGTGCATCCTTTTGTCAGATTAGTTTTATCAGATTAACCATTTGTTCTAATGAACAGCTTCTCACCAAGGTATTTGTGCTTACACTGCCAGAAATATTATTCACCAGATTTCTGGGTACCCAGTTAGGTTTTTTGCACATTTGTAGTTTCAGAAGATTTCAAAAATCTTTAAGCATATGACACACAAATTTCAAAAATTTCCCGAAATCAATTTATTGCATTGGAAGACACCCGTGCGCAATTGTTTTCCCCACAGAAGCGTATATTATGGAATATATGGTTTACACAGACCTGCAGTTCAGAGCTTTTGCCAGGTTTTGTGTTGCTCCCAGAAGCTTTATCATGGAAAACATTTCTC